AAGGAAAGGAAAGGAAAGGAAAGGAAAGGAAAGGAAAGGAAAGGAAAGGAAAGGAAAGGAAAGGAAAGGAAAGGAAAGGAAAGAAATAATATTAAGAATCCAATAATCATATCCACAGATACAACTTTTTTACACACATGAAGACATTCATGAAGACATTATTATTATTATTATTATTATTACTACTACTGCTGGTGCTGCTACTGCTACTACTACTTTATATGTTAAAGACGTTTCAGTGTATCCAGAAGTGTTTCTTTATGATATTTTTATGCAGAGGAAGGTTCCTGATGTACCATAGACTAAGACAACTATACTATACACGTCTCTATCTTTCTCATAGCTTTCATGGTGTAACAGACTCATAACTAAGCTTCAACAGCTTTTCATTGATTGTAAATCTCACAGGAAGAGACTGCCCATCTTTCTCCGGTGGCGTCACTGGTAGATTCAAGTCACCTTTGGATTAGCAGCGGAATTCCCCATAGACCACCCCACCAGAGCTCCCTATACTATCCATGTGCTGTATACTGAGGCTAGGTTCTGTCCTAGGTTCTGTACTTAACTAACCGATGTTAAGATACGAATTGCATCCAATTATTCCAGCTTGCATACAAATTCAACTTTTACTAAAGTGTTATCAGCATTGTCCACTGAAGAAATCCGAATATACAGCGGATAATGAGAAGAGTAGTAAATACAGGCTGATCTCTCTTGATCGTGCCTTTCTGTGACTTCTCACATTCTTTTTCGTAATGAGTTGGTATTACTTTTGTAATTAGACATGAAACAAGCCTATTTCCACTTTGCAAAATCACTGTGCAGTAATGAGCTGGCTCTTGATAGGTCGTGGGTTCCGTGACAGCAGAGAGCCCCCACACGTCGAAGGTTCTCAGCTGAGGACACCGGGCCCCTGGCTGCAGATCTACACCCAGCAACTGCCTCTCATTCAGACCCTTCACCACTCGTCGGCTTCATGGCTCATCTCTCACACAGAGGATGCAACCATCCCAGGAAGGATGGAGGGCAGATAAAGTAAGTGTGCAAAACAGATACAAAATAAAAACCAAAGCAAACGCCAAATAACTCTGCTGTTACCCAGTCTGTTCTGACTCATGGTAACTCATGAGTGGCACAAATAGTCGGTGCTCAACTTGCTACTGTTATTGTTGTTAAGTGTGTTGAGTCAGAGCTGACTCAGAGCTGACTCTCCTTTTCAGAGAGTGCCAATAACACCGGAAGAGACTGCCCGACTGTGTCCCGAGGAGCCGCTGGTGGATTTGAACTGCATGGCTGTAGGTTGGCAGCACAGCTTCTTATCCCTAAGCCAAGCACTAACTGTTAAAGGAGCCCTGTGACACAGCGGTGTACAGAGTTTGCCTGTAATCTTAAGGGCATGTGTTTTGAACTCACCAACTGCTCTGTGGAAGAAAGCTAGGGCAATGGCTGACCTAAAGTTTTCAACCTTGGGGACCCTATGGGACAGTTTCCTCTGCCCTACAGAGTTGCTATGAGTCAGAATTGAGTCGATGACAGCGAATTTGGTTATTGTTGTTATGTGCTGTCGAGTCACTTGCGACTCATAGCGACCCTATGCACAACAGCCCCAAACCCTGCTCTATCCTGTGCCAATCACACTGTCACTGACACACCCATCCTGATTACCCCAGTTACTGAATCAATCCACCTCATAGAGGGTCTTCCCCTCCTGTGCTGTCCCTCCACCCTCCCAAGAATGACATCCCTCTCCAAGGACAGTCCATCCTTGAAACATGTCCAAAGTATGTCAGACAAAACCTCAGAATCTCTCCCTCCAAGGAGCTTCCCAGTTTAACCCTCTCCAGGATGTATCTGTTTGTTTTCTTAGCAGTCCATGGCACACTCAATACTCTTGTCCAGCATCACAGCTCAAAGGCATCAATTCTTCTTCTATCTTCCCTAGTCATTGTCTACCTCTCTGAAACATAGCAAGTGATTGCAAAGATTATGGCCTGTATCAGATGCACCTTAGTCTCAAGAGAGACACCATTGCTCTTAAGTACTTTGGAGCGGTCCCTAACAGTAGACTTTCCCATCACAATAC